CGCTCTTCCTTGTCAGGGCACATTAACATTCATCACCTTAATGTGGAGGCTCTTTCTGTGCAATTTTACTATCTAAAGGACAATTGAAATCCCTCGTGCAAACATCTTACTGCTGCTGGAAGAGGTTTTGTAATTATGAAAAATATAATAATCCATAGTGATGCTTATCCCAAGGAGATGCTTTGCGTGTATACGCGGCGCTGGAGGAAACATCCCACAATATTTTCCTATCAAGGGTTGTTCATTATTACCATGAGCTATTTTTCCTCTCCCCCTAACGAGGGAATTCACTGCGTTACTAGTGCCAGGCTGGGAGCCCTGGAGCCCAGGCTCTTTCGGCAGAGTGCAGCACTGCAAACTTTCTCTGCACGACTTTGAAAATGTGCCCGGGTCCTCGGCGGAGAGACGATCTCCACGGGCTCAGGCAGCCGCACGACCGATCGCTGAGACCAGCAGCACCGGATCTTTTAACTTTTACCAGACGCTGCGTTAAGAACAGGGCTGCAAAACAGGAGGCAGCAACAGGAGATGCATTTCATTCATTAATCACCAGAGAGATCCAGGCGAATAACCAAGAGACCAAGACCGCGCATCCCGTTCCTGTTTTCCCTGCGGGTAAACTGTCTCCTCTGCCTCCTAATTGCAATTAGTGACCCCACCCCAGTCTTTCTGCCAGGACTGACGGCGATGCCCGGTGACCTGACCAGCTCCAGTTCACTGGATCCTCATCTCCCCTGATTTCTCAGGGGAACCCCGTTAGAAATCTCTACTTCTACAACTTTGGTTGTAAATTCCAGGTTACCTACATTAGCTGCTGCGGCACTATAAATACTTCACATATAATTGTTCTAATAAAGCACTGGTAACTCATAAGTGACTTACACATTTTTAAATCAATTTTTAAAGATAAAATGGGTCCTTTCATGCTGGCAGTATATGTGGGGAAGCTATAAATATCTCGGCTCTGAAATGGACAGGAGATTGAAGCAAAAGCGAAGGAGAGGGGTATTCTTCTGTGGAAGCTGAGTTCTTGTTTCTCTGTGACAGAGGTGCAGCTGGTCAAGAAAACTTAGTGCACACAGCTTAATTTTCAAAGCGGCATTAAATCCGTCCCATTTGATCCTCAAAAAACACAAAAAGAGAGTCTTTTTCAGCTATAAATTGTCTGTCAGCGTGGAAGGACTGAGAGGGAGAAGACGTTTTGCTTTTTCTTGTCCACGAGTCCTTGGAACTCTACCCCGCCCCAACATAAGAGACAGAGAATGAAGAGCAAGGTAGGACTGGATGTGTAATTCAGAGCTGCACAAACTAAGTTGAGTAAAAAAAAAGATGAACTAACAAGTTTATCTACAAAATATGGAAAGAATCCTCCTTTTCTGCACGCCTGGGTTTTGGTAACTGCTACCCAGTCTGTCTAGGCTGGAGAGCAATTGGCTGAGCTCAAAATATACTGAGCAGTCGACAGAGTCTCTCCAGCTCGCACAGCAAACAGACACGCTGTAATTCCAACAAGCATCTATTTAGCTATACACGTATTTCTAATTTTAATTACTGTAGTTTCTGCAGGTAATTTGAAAGGAACTAGTTAACAAAAGATTGGTACCCTGCTGATGATGTTTAGAAGACCTGGCACACGAAATAAAATAATTTGTCTCCTGACTTAAAAAAGTCAGCATCTACACAGAAAAGAATCTGTTTTCTTTAGGCAATTATCAGGACAGTGAAATGGTGGAAGGAGATTTGATAGAAAAGGCTGTGGCACGAGCCCCCTGCCCCCTCCCCGGCTGCCTGCGCCCGTCCCAGTCCCTCCCTGCCCAGCACCGGCTCCTGGGCACCCTGCGTCCATCCCCGCGCCGAACAAAAACCCGCCAGGCACGGCTAGGTCGGTAAAGCTCTGGAGGAAAACTCTGGAGAACAGCTATTTCTATTCACCTAAAGCGTCACGAGATGAACGGTGGATTCTTACCACATTAGCTCCCACCGGCAGTGCCTCACTTAGCAAATGTCTCTTCGTAGTCCCACAAGAGCAGAAACAAACCAAAAATCTCATGGTGTTTCCCTTTCTAGAAGCAGACAGGGATGGTTTCAAATACGACTGATAAACGTACTGTGAGTTTCTTGACGGGAGACCGCTAATGGGAGTAAGAGCCTTGAGATCATTCGTTCTTTTCTGTCCTTGTTGGGTCAGGCTCAGACAGCAAAGCTGTATTTGCTTTACAGCAAAATATGTCAGCCAAAGCTTCGATATCCTCCGTCAGTCACGTATTCCTTTCCCTTCGCAATCACATCAGACAATAAAACTTTCTGCAGAACCTTCCCTCCCTCGGTCCATTGCGGAGATGGAGGAGCAAAAGCAACAGGCTCAGGGTAAATGCACGCAAACTTCTCCCCTCCCTCCCAGTCAGCCCCATCTTGCCGGCTCGCGGCGATGCCTTACCTGGCAAGGAGAGCCACTGGGCGCCCCAAGGAGGGCTGAATCTGGGGAACTGGGAGGAAGGGGGAGCAGCCACTCCTCGGGATAAAAGTTGAGGTGGGCGGCACTGCCTGCCTCGGCTCCCTCTCTCAAGGCAGTCGGAGGCAATCAGCGAATGCGATCATCATTGTGAAAGTGTATATATAGCGGGATGACTAAACAGCTTTTCGCTCGTCGCTGCCGAGACCCAGTCGCTCCCTGCCTCTCTCGCCCGGGCTTGCTTCGCTTGCCCCCCC